ACTCAAAGATAATGAAACTCATAGCTACCTGACCCAAACATCAACTCCTATTTACCCGAAATGAACAAGCTCTGACAGAAGGCGCAAGTGAACTCCAGTGAAACGACAACTACATGCGCTTACGACCGTATGTGTCTCAACATCTAGACAATGACCAGGGCACCACGCTGGATCTGCAGCGACATCACCAATCCTGGTGTCAAGCCAAAAGTCCTGACAGTCGCCAAACTCATCTGACCTGTTTGCGACAAGCACATTCCATGGGGTTCAACCTGAGGACCTTTGCCATGTGCCACACTCTTCGCGATCCATCAACAAAACCAAGTCGTTCCAAACATGTTGCGCAGGAGTTTTGGATAAGGTCGTAACGCTTACAAGAAGCACATCACGCCAAACAAAACTATACCCTGAGCCTGCCAAACGACACTTTCACCAATTTTCTTTTGCCCATGCTATACTGCGCTGCTCCGAACCTAAAATGCACAAGTAATTACCATCAGGATTCTTCTGCGTCTGACTCCATGGACCCTGGATGAGCATGTTGGACAAAGCTGCGCTCGATGTCACTTCTTGATCAAAGCGTCAATCTCTGCAATCGCTGATCGCCAACGCTGCATAGCTTGTTCCCACCCTCTCTTGGTTGGATGCGATGAGGAGCGAGGAGTCGACAGCATATCATCGGTTTTGTTCTTCTGGTAGATCTTGTAGCTCTCCCTTTGCTTGTGCATCTCCACGCACCTCTGATGCTTGTCAGCGGTTGCCGTCGATGGCTTCATGGGACAGATGCCTGAGATGTCCAAGTAAAAGAATCCTGATACTGGTGCCAAGATGCTGCAGATGAAATATTCTCGAGACATGTAAGAACGTACACATTGTACGATGTGACTCTTGAGCGCATGTTGAACAAATACAGTTTTGGGCCTTCAGAACGTTTCAATAATGTCTTGCGAGACGTATGATCCCAGCAAGCCCATTGAGCCTTTGTCAGAACGTTTCAACAATGCATTGCGAGTAAATCACCCAGCAAACCCTTTGAGCTTTTGTCAGAACGTTTCAACAATATCTGGCAAGTAAATCACCCCAGCAAGCCCATTGAGCCTTTGTCCCCACGTTTCACAAATGTCTTGCGAGGCAAATCACCTCAGCAACACCAAGATGCATCAAGGAATGGTTTCCTCTTCCTCTGCCCTCGGCAAAGATTCAGACGCACGACGTCGGAGTTTTCTACGCCGTTTCGGCGACCCTCTCAGCTTCTTTTGTTTGACAAAGCGCTCACTCACTCTGAGAGCTGCCAAAACATACGTCACCGTCGCTTCAGTCAGCTCCAGCCATACATCGGCGCCCTTGATTTGCCACAGCACACGGCACGAAATCTCAGGGAACTCTCGACCAGGTTCAGAAAAGGCGGGCAATCGAATCATCACAAACCTTTTGTCTATGAGAACCCCATCATCGTCCTTGGCAGCACGAAGGCGATGCATGGGTTGATCATCCTCAGACTCTTTCAGCTTACGATGCAAGGCTGCGTCACACGCTTCTTTTCCTCGACAATGTTTTTCCACAGGCTCTAAACATATAAGTAAACACAAAAAAACGACAGACGTGAGTTGTATGAAGTGTGCATTAAACACATGTAAAAGCCTTGCATACACCACGCACATACATTGCGTTAACCTATGCACGCGTTTGATTCGACCCTGCTGACTAGTGTCGGAGCTTGCGGAGTTCTTCCCAAAAAAACAACCTGAAGGTCGCGCTTTTCTTTCGATTTGTGACGCTGCATTCCTTTGCCAAAGGCGAGCTTGCAAAGAGTGCTGTCCCATTTGGAAAACCTGGCAAAAACGTGGCCTTCCACTTCAGCTACATCAGGTAGCCAACAAGTCTTCTTCATGTTCCCGACACGCACACTGAAGACCTTCTGAATCTTGACAGTCGGATCATCTTCATCACCTGAGCCCTCATCAGCAGCATTCTCCTCCTCTACATCAGACATGAAGGTAGAAGCGTGCTCACGCAATGATTGGCAAGGCACGTGTAAGCCAAACACTTTATAGGTTACTACGGACCCCACAGCGGAACTCGGACGTCACGCATAAACACTTCAAGTATAATTCAAACAAAACTCATCTTAATATATTTAAACGCTCTCTCTTTTTTCTCGCAGATGGCTTATGTGGGTAAACTGTCAAGAAAGGATTCCTTTCAGGAGATCCTGAGCTTCTTTGCGTATCTCTTATGCCTTTCGTTTGCCTTGCTTCGGCCGACAGTCACCCACTTCCGCTTCAGCTAAAACAGGGATTCGAGCGTTTCCTTCATCACGGGACAAGATGGGCATTCTAGTTTAAGTTCGCCTAGGAAACTCAATGCGTCGAGAGATCCTCGGCTCGGGGGGATCGGCCACATTACTGCTTGAAGCGACCCTTGCGATCCAAGTCAGGGATTCAGACCTGGCGTCAGTTTTCTCCACCTCCAGGAGGAGGTGTCTCCACGAAAGCAAAGCCGAGTAACCCCTCACAAAAACATCTATGGTCGTCCAATTGCCACAGAAGAAAATCACTCTTTCGCGCTTCAAGTCCGCCGACCAATGTTCGAACGCTGTTGCCACTCCATACAACTCGACGAGACCGATCGGATGACTGGACTCAGACAGCCATCTTTCAAGCAAAGCTGGATGCACTTTGGTCCCAAACACTCTGGCCCTGCTGTTCGGTCTCAACATGACTGCTCCTATGGTCGCCAAAGGTTCGTCTCGATCATCGAACTCGAAGGCCCCGTCGGTGTAAATCAGAATCGGTTTGACAGGGTCCCCTGCTGTCAAAGTCCTGGGCTTGCCTTCCGAGAATCTTTGCTTGAGGGCGACTAGGGAATCTATTACTTCGGGGGATAAGCTATGTTTATCCTTAGAGTCATGTCCAAGAGCCCTTAAGTCTGCCATGGCTAAGCCACCCATCTTTCCTGCCAACTGCATGTCTGCGAACTGCATCCTACCAAGGATCGAAGGAAGCTGGATTGGGATCACAAAGCCGTCGCCTAAAATTGGGCCTAAAACCTTGTCAATAGTCTCCAGCAGTTCCTGTTTCCTCGAAGGTTTGTTGTCCACGACTATCTTGCCCTGAGAGGCTTGGGACAGATTCACGAGCACTCCTAAAGTTTCGGCTTCTTCCCCGAAAGGTGCCAGCTTCTCTTCGGCAAAGGCGAAACCTAGAAGTTCAAAGAGACCTTTCACGCATGTCATGGTCGACAGCTGGTGAGCCTCATGCGTGATTGTAGGGTAGTCGTCAAAATAGTTAGTCCACAAGATTCCCAGCCTAAGACCCAAGGCCCAGATGAGCCTTGAGATGCGGTTGAAGTGGAGCACACTGGCCACACTTCCAAAAGGAAGGGTACGCATTTCAAAGCATACAGCAGACTTGGTGTCGGGGTTCTTCAGGGTCACTATCGAACAACAATACTCCTCTGGGTGTAGAGGGAGTTGCTTGTAGGCCGACGCAAGGTCGAACGAAGTCATACGGAACTGACCTTGGGCAATTGACCAGGACTCGTGCACCTGACCTTTAAGCCGGCTCCCATCACTAAGCTTGAAGTCTATTGCTCCTCGGTGTTTACAAAACCTGACGCATACGCAAAGACTCCACAAAATGTGGTCCAAAGCGTGAAGATCGATTTTGTCGCAACTGGAAAAGCAGTCGTTAAGATGATTTTCCTTCATATCATCTATTGGTCGAAGTTTTCCTTTCTGTCTGACTCCAAAGCGCCTAACCGGCAACCAAGTCCCCTGGTGCCTGTCGGACACACTGCTCGGATCGAGAGGCCCTTCGAGCCACCCCTTTTCGTTTGCCTCTCGGAGGGTGATGTCGTACAGTTCACGCTCATCTTCATCCTCAACTACCTGGTGGTTCAATTTTCCCAAAATCAAAGGCCTAATGAATTTCGAATCTTGCATGAGCTTTTCCTTGCTCATGCTGGCCGGACGAAATTCCTGTTTGAAGATGTGTGAAGGGGGGAGAGTGACCTGTAAGCTTAAATCCTTCTCTGAGTTCTTGATGTATTCGTTCATCGGGCCAACCGATGTCTTTGGCAAGTTCTTCAAGCACCAGCAAGCGTTTTCCCTTCAGGATCCTAGCCACTTTGGGGTTCAGTTTCTTGTGCAGGTCTCGCTCACGCATTTGCAAAGCCCTGGCCTTTTGCATCCAACTATCCAATGTCTTGATCCTATGCTTGGTGAGCTCCACCAACCCCAAGGTCAAGTTCAGAAACAAGCAACGAATGAGATCATCTGGCAAGTTCATCAGTTCGTCGTATGGATGCCACAACTGACGGGAGACCTCAACAAAGGACTCCATACTCCTATAGACCCCGAAAACGCACAAGACCTTCTGTCCCGGTTTAGCTTCAGATCTCAACAAACGAGCACCGCATGGCAGGTCGCCTACAGCAGTCTGCAAGCATTGTTTGGAGTCAAGGGAAGGCACCCGGTCTAAAAGTCGTGGTGCAGTTCATACGCCGTGTCAAAGGGTGAAACGATGTTAGCATTCTTGACTTTACAAAAGGTGGACGTCTTTCCTGCTCTTGGGATTACACCGCCAGGCCAAGAGCAGGGGGGCCCCAAGTCAGTGAGGGTGCTCAGGGTCTTATTGTCAGGCCTTAAGGGAAGTCACTAGGTTAAAATAAGTAGGCGAGAGGAATGACAGCGGTGAAGGGGCCCAAGGAATCCCAGGCGAGCCACTGTGCCCCATCGGTTAACCCTTGATTTGTAAAAAGGCGCAGTGGAAGATAACTTGGCCGTACTCTGACACTATTTGCGGCAAGCGACGTCCTCTGGGCTGTTTCTGAGGTTTGGCGGCCTCCTGTTGTGAGGCCTCGAGAGGGATAGAAATGCCACGTGCCTGAGCCAAAGTGACCAAAACATCAGTGTACGCTTCGCACAATTCTTTAGGATATTCTGCCTCTTTGGAAATATTAAAAACCTGTGCCTCCTCGTCAAATCCCCACCCCTCGTGAGAATGCGTGCCATCACAAAATCTCTCCATGCAGCTAAAGCGGGCGTCGCTCGCAAGCAAAGCTGTGTTCTTCTTACGGCGACCTCCGTAAGCACATGCGTGAAGATGGTACAAATGGCCGCATGCCAAAGGAAAAGCCAGCTCTGGGAGTTCCCACAACCAGGAGTTACTGGGGTTCTCAATGACCCATGGGATTTGCAAGTGCTCCAAAAACTCAACGAACTTAGACATGGCGGCGTACAATTGGTTTGCAGCGGTGACCTTTGTCTTATCACTGGGTGACATGTTGGGGAGTCCATGTAAAAAATCGAAACTTCTCAAGGGTGGCGGACCTGGACTCCCGTCTGCTAAGGGAATGCCCCTGGCTTTGGAGCAAGTCCCACATGGCAGGCCTATGTGGACACATACGACTTCGAAGTCCGTGCACACCTGCCGCAAAACTTCCAAAGCATGTGGCGTTGCAAGGTCAAGAGTAAAAACGCTGCAGTGAGTCTTGTGGCGGTTGCGCGAGCAATCAATGGGAAAAACAGGAAAACCCCTAGCTTTTGCAGTTGCGCTGAGGATTGCGCACCCTGCGCATGCTTCGATGAAGATTGGACTCTTTCGATGTTTGTCGGTTGGTTTCGAACATGATGTGTCTGCTGTTGCTGTGGGTTCGATCGCTGGTGAAACAAAATCGGATGCATCTGCTTGAAACTTGTTCTGGCTTGTCTCTGACTCTTCACGCTTGTTGGGGTTTGGACCGGGGTCGTCTTCGACGACCGAAAAAGAAGCTTTACGCTTGGTTCCCTTTGGGAGTTTCAAATTCTCAAACGGCCCTTGCTTCGGGCCCGCATGCATGTTTGAGCCCTCTGCTTCGAGCTCATCTCTTGGACTGCCTAGTCACCCTTCCTTCCGGGCATTCGGACACTCCACCGCTGGATGCGGCTTGAAGCAGTTCTTGACACAGCACAGGCGCAATCCCCTGTCACACTTCTGTTGCTTCGCTTGTGCATTGCAAGTCTTCAAATTGAATCCAAAGCAAATGCGATTTCCTTTCGAAGTGCTTGCGACACCCCCAAGCTTCAGCAGTTCAACTGGAACTCTTGGAAATGTGTCTGCCTTGCCTCCTCCCTTTCCTTTGGGACCGAGCTTGCGACGCTTGAAGGCATCGTCCTCCTTGACGATGTTCGGCTTGAAGCTACTGGGATTCGCCAATCGCAGCGTTCTGGGCCATCCGAGGTTGAAGCAAGCGCCTGACCTCCGTTGCATTGAAACAAGCGTCAAATGAAAGATCACAAGGTCTCCCTGCCGGAGTTGCTTTAATGCCGCTTCGGGTGTGCTCCGACAAAAGTGTGAAGAACTTCTTGTCAGCCTGTTCCAACTGCTTCATGCTGACCTTCTGGTATCCTAGTGGAGGCTCTGACATACGAGTCTCCATCAACAACTCTGTCCACCTGTCGTGGTTCTCATAGCTCATCACATTTGCCTGCTCCATCGCGAGGCCTCGCCTCACAAGGCAGTACCTGACTTGGATTTTCGATGATGTTTGAGCTGGATCTGGTTTGTCGTGTTTGGACAGTTTCAGTGTGCCATCACCTGAAAAACTCAAACTGGTGTCCTTTTTTCACGTTGTTCGAAAGCTCAAACTCTCGAGAGATGCACGCTGACCATTCCACATAAACCAGCCTGTCGCTCTCATAGCAATTGCAAAACTTGTCGACTAAGGTGTCACCTGGTTCATAGTGACCTCGGATCGAAAGGCCTTTCAATCGGTTTTGTTGTTCCCTAAGACGTTCGGCTCGTTCAGCAGGAGCTAATTTCCTCGTTGCAGTTTCATCGGTCTGTTCAACTTGGGATTTGATGTCTGCCGCAACGTTGGCATAGCTTTCACTGAACAATCTTCTCATGATACTCATCTCTAAAGCCGTTGCATCACGGCCCAAAGCGTCCTTCACCATGTCCACCAATGGCCTGTCTGATGCGGCCCCTGGTGCGTAGTTACAAGAAAAAGCAAAAAGAGCCATTGTCTTATATCCTTTGTCCTGGAGCTTTTCCAGGACAGCTCGCTCCATGCCCATCTGCAGTGCTCTTGCTTCGAACACCGCCGAGCTGTCGCCAAATGACATGGTGAGACCGCGAATCTGGCATGGGATGGCTATCCTTGAGTGCCCGGCTTCGGTCACGATCAAGATTCACGTCGAACCCCTTCCGATGTAGAAGATTCCGTGAGGCCGCCGTTTTTTCAACTCAAGTGGCTTTGGGTCCGCGCGCGCGCGCGCCTCCGACGGCCGTTTTTAGAGCCCAAAAAGGCGCGCGCGCGCGCGCCCAAGCTTCCAAAACGGTGACCTTCACGGATCTTAATATTCCGATGCTTATGCGCTCGTTTCTGTATGTTTGAGTTTCTTCTGTTTGGTAAATTGATTCTCATTGCACTCGACCAAAGTGTCCAAAAGAAAAGCGTCTGCACGAACTTCACCACGGTTTACCAATCTTTTTGCACAAGCTTTCAGTTTGAACTCTTCCAGTCTGTCTTCAATCAATTCAAGCTCTTAAATGTTTGCTTTCCATTCTTCAAAGAAAAATCCTCAAGCGCACTCGATTTTCCCTTCATAGGCTCTCGACGTTGGTGTCATAGCTTCAGACACACTCCGCAAGCCGGATACACGAACTCCGGTTTCTCATCCAGGCGCAAATAGTTGGCATTTGCAGTTCGGCCACAACGAAAATGCGTACCTCCTTCGTCTGCGAGGACATGAAGGCATCGGGAAGTCTTGTGGCGAGCGTAGCACAAAGAGTCGGTGGCCTCCTGTGGCCTCCAGGGGCCTACAACTTGCGCAACTGCTTTCTCTTCTTCCTCCGGGACGTCGTCCTCCTCACTCTCCGAACCCCTGCTCTCCGAGTCCAGCGAACCATCGTCGTCTGAAGCAGGCTGGTTGCTTTCGCAAGTTGAGCCCGGGGCGAAATATCCGGACCGAGTCTTGTCCGGGAAAAACTAGTCAGTCCACCATGATGACTTCCCTAAGTCTCCTCAAAGGCAAGGACATGCTGTCTCTCGAGTATACCAGCAATGACTTGTCTTTCGAACAGCTGTGGTATCCCAACACGCGACGAACTGAATGTTCTAAGCCAAACTTCGAACACATGCTCAACAAGGTGCTCTTGCACGAATGCGTTGCGATTCGAACTGCGGCACCATCGGACACCTTCAACAAAGCTCGAAGCCATTCCCCTGCTGAACTCACCGGCAAAGGGGTTTTGGACCACGAGCCATCCGCCATTGGTGAGGTCATCAAAGGTGTTCCTCTCTCACACTTCAAACCCGCCTTGTCCCTCAGTTCAAGCCACGTCAAAACCCAGCTAGGGTCGGAAAAACCCAGGGTTGGAACAGCAATCGGAAGGTGCCTTGTCTTGCGCTCCAATGTGATCGAGGTCTTCGTTCTTTCGGCCTCGCATTCAAGGAAACCTTCCAGGTCGGCGCCGACTGTGATGACATCAAGTTTCATGCTCGAAATATGAAGTCCGTCACTGAACCTAAGTCTTCCGAAGATCAAGAGCAAAAAGTAGCCTGCTGCGATCCTGTCAAAAGCAGTCCTACGTTCGTCCTTCACGATCTGTTCCAGGTGCTGCACTTGCTCAACAGTCAAAGGTGGCCTTTGCACTACTTTCCTTCGATTGCAAAAATGCGCCGCTGACAAACCCTTAATTCGACCGCTCTTCAAAACGACTTCCCCTCCCATGAGGCCCAAAATATGGAAGGCGAACGAAATGGAGAGCAAAAGCGATCTGAAAGAACTCGGTGCGGCGTTTGTCCAAGACTTGAAGTATTCGTAAAGCATCGGTTCCTCGACTGGAAAACATTCACAACCCAGAACTTTGCAAAACGAATCAAAGGTCCTGCCCTGTTGTGAAGTGTGCTTGACGCCTTGTTGGCCAGGGCATCGCTCACTGAATCCATGAGACCTCCTTGGGCGAAATTCAAAGCTCCCGACGCGGCAACCTGTCGAGAGATCTGCCAAGCACCTACATTGGTCAAGATCAAAGAGCACCATTTCTTGTACGCACACTTCCTTTCCCATGACAGCTTCTCATGCCACAGTTTATTATCTGCTGTGGTTGCAAATTTCAACTTAGCCTCACGAAAAGCACTTTTGCTGAGCTCTGGACCAACTTCGAGGTTGTTAGCTGAACTATGGACTTTTGGCATCAATGGCATGTTTCCGGACAAAGGCATGACTTGCATGGAACTGGAAAACACATCGAAAGGCGTCCTCAAGCATGCATCCCATGGCATGACATGTGACTCTGATTTACGAAATCTATTCCAGCAAAATGCAAGATGTTTCTCATATCCATCCCCGGGGACGGCTTGCCGTGAAGGTATCATCGACGATGACGGTGCTCGTAGCAACTATGATGTTTATGTCCTTCGGCCCGTGTACACGGGCGGTCACACCAGCGGCAATGAAAACCGCACCTCCACGGCGAACGAAGGCCCGGGGAGGAGGGCACCTCCCACGAGCCCTGGCTTTCAGGGATGCGCGGAGAAGAAGGCTGATCCGGAGCGGCAGTTTCGGCAAAACCAACAGTCAGTTCACTCAAAATCAGCTGAATCCAGCGAAGCAAATTGCTAGTGGAAACCTGAGACAAATCTGGGAACTCGGCACCACGATCTCCCATTGCCAAAAACTACTCGCTCGCTTTGGATGGAATGAGCGCCCACCCGCCCTTCCCGCTTCTTGAACGGTAAAGCCGCGGCCGCGTTTGTATTTCCCGTTTGCTTGAAGACTGTCGTTTTTAAAAGCTTTGATTGTATTAAAACATTTTTAACACAAAGTGTGTTTCACACCGCTTGTGAACTTTTAGCTTTTGATGTACACACGTGCGTCATACTTATGTGCTCATTCAGAACGCACCTGACGGACACATGTGCTTATCTACTGAAACTTAAAAACCTTTTACGCAGTGGGGGATGTTAGCTTAACATCAATCCTGCGTTACCTATAAACCGTCATTGGCACGCCAACAACAAACTTATAGGTTACTACGGACCCCACAGCGGAACTCGGACGTCACGCATAAACACTTCAAGTATAATTCAAACAAAACTCATCTTAATATATTTAAACGCTCTCTCTTTTTCTCGCAGATGGCTTATGTGGGTAAACTGTCAAGAAAGGATTCCTTTCAGGAGATCCTGAGCTTCTTTGCATATCTCTTATGCATTTCGTTTGCCTTGCTTCGGCCGACAGTCACCCACTTCCGCTTCAGCTAAAACAGGGATTCGAGCGTTTCCTTCATCACGGGACAAGATGGGCATTCTAGTTTAAGTTCACCTAGGAAACTCAATGCGTCGAGAGATCCTCGGCTCGGGGGATCGGCCACATTACTGCTTGAAGCGACCCTTGCGATCCAAGTCAGGGATTCAGACCTGGCGTCAGTTTTCTCCACCTCCAGGAGGAGGTGTCTCCACGAAAGCAAAGCCGAGTAACCCCTCACAAAAACATCTATGGTCGTCCAATTGTCACAGAAGAAAATCACTCTTTCGTGCTTCAAGTCCGCCGACCAATGTTCGAACGCTGTTGCCACTCCATACAACTCGACGAGACCGATCGGATGACTGGACTCAGACAGCCATCTTTCAAGCAAAGCTGGATGCACTTTGGTCCCAAACACTCTGGCCCTGCTGTTCGGTCTCAACATGACTGCTCCTATGGTCGCCAAAGGTTCGTCTCGATCATCGAACTCGAAGGCCCCGTCGGTGTAAATCAGAATCGGTTTGACAGGGTCCCCTGCTGTCAAAGTCCTGGGTTTGCCTTCCGAGAATCTTTGCTTGAGGATGACTAGGGAATCTATTACTTCGGGGGATAAGCTATGTTTATCCTTAGAGTCATGTCCAAGAGCCCTTAAGTCTGCCATGGCTAAGCCACCCATCTTTCCTGCCAACTGCATGTCTGCGAACTGCATCCTACCAAGGATCGAAGGAAGCTGGATTGGGATCACAAAGCCGTTGCCTAAAACATAGTCTCCAGCAGTTCCTGTTTCCTCGAAGGTTTGTTGTCCGCGACTATCTTGCCCTGAGAGGCTTGGGACAGATTCACGAGCACTCCTAAAGTTTCGGCTTCTTCCCCGAAAGGTGCCAGCTTCTCTTCGGCAAAGGCGAAACCTAGAAGTTCAAAGAGACCTTTCACGCATGTCATGGTCGACAGCTGGTGAGCCTCATGCGTGATTGTAGGGTAGTCGTCAAAATAGTTAGTCCACAAGATTCCCAGCCTAAGACCCAAGGCCCAGATGAGCCTTGAGATGCGGTTGAAGTGGAGCACACTGGCCACACTTCCAAAGGAAGGGTACGCATTTCAAAGCATACAGCAGACTTGGTGTCGGGGTTCTTCAGGGTCACTATCGAACAACAATACTCCTCTGGGTGTAGAGGGAGTTGCTTGTAGGCCGACGCAAGGTCGAACGAAGTCATACGGAACTGACCTTGGGCATTTGACCAGGACTCGTGCACCTGACCTTTAAGCCGGCTCCCATCACTAAGCTTGAAGTCTATTGCTCCTCGGTGACAAAACCTGACGCATACGCAAAGACTCCACAAAATGTGGTCCAAAGCATGAAGATCGATTTTGTCGCAACTGGAAAAGCAGTCGTTAAGATGATTTTCCTTCATATCATCTATTGGTCGAAGTTTTCCTTTCTGTCTGACTCCAAAGCGCCTAACCGGCAACCAAGTCCCCTGGTGCCTGTCGGACACACTGCTTGGATCGAGAGGCCCTTCGAGCCACCCCTTTTCGTTTGCCTCTCGGAGGGTGATGTCGTACAGTTCACGCTCATCTTCATCCTCAACTACCTGGTGGTTCAATTTTCCCAAAATCAAAGGCCTAATGAATTTCGAATCTTGCATGAGCTTTTCCTTGCTCATGCTGGCCGGACGAAAATTCCTGTTTGAAGATGTATGAAGGGGGAGAGCGACCTGTAAGCTTAAATCCTTCTCTGAGTTCTTGATGTATTCGTTCATCGGGCCAACCGATGTCTTTGGCAAGTTCTTCAAGCACCAGCAAGCGTTTTCCCTTCAGGATCCTAGCCACTTTGGGGTTCAGTTTCTTGTGCAGGTCTCGCTCACGCATCTGCAAAGCCCTGGCCTTTTGCATCCAACTATCCAATGTCTTGATCCTATGCTTGGTGAGCTCCACCAACCCCAAGGTCAAGTTCAGAAACAAGCAACGAATGAGATCATCTGGCAAGTTCATCAGTTCGTCGTATGGATGCCACAACTGACGGGAGACCTCAACAAAGGACTCCATACTCCTATAGACCCCGAAAACGCACAAGACCTTCTGTCCCGGTTTAGCTTCAGATCTCAACAAACGAGCACCGCATGGCAGGTCGCCTACAGCAGTCTGCAAGCATTGTTTGGAGTCAAGGGAAGGCACCCGGTCTAAAAGTCGTGTGATAACTTGGCCGTACTCTGACACTATTTGCGGCAAGCGACGTCCTCTGGGCTGTTTCTGAGGTTTGGCGGCCTCCTGTTGTGAGGCCTCGAGAGGGATAGAAATGCCACGTGCCTGAGCCAAAGTGACCAAAACATCAGTGTACGCTTCGCACAATTCTTTAGGATATTCTGCCTCTTTGGAAGTATTAAAAACCTGTGCCTCCTCGTCAAATCCCCACCCCTCGTGAGAATGCGTGCCATCACAAAATCTCTCCATGCAGCTAAAGCGGGCGTCGCTCGCAAGCAAAGCTGTGTTCTTCTTACGGCGACCTCCGTAAGCACATGCGTGAAGATGGTACAAATGGCCGCATGCCAAAGGAAAAGCCAGCTCTGGGAGTTCCCACAACCAGGAGTTACTGGGGTTCTCAATGACCCATGGGATTTGCAAGTGCTCCAAAAACTCAACGAACTTAGACATGGCGGCGTACAATTGGTTTGCAGCGGTGACCTTTGTCTTATCACTGGGTGACATGTTGGGGAGTCCATGTAAAAAATCGAAACAGGGTGGCGGACCTGGACTCCCGTCTGCTAAGGGAATGCCCCTGGCTTTGGAGCAAGTCCCACATGGCAGGCCTATGTGGACACATACGACTTCGAAGTCCGTGCACACCTGCCGCAAAACTTCCAAAGCATGTGGCGTTGCAAGGTCAAGAGTAAAAACGCTGCAGTGAGTCTTGTGGCGGTTGCGCGAGCAATCAATGGGAAAAACAGGAAAACCCCTAGCTTTTGCAGTTGCGCTGAGGATTGCGCACCCTGCGCATGCTTCGATGAAGATTGGACTCTTTCGATGTTTGTCGGTTGGTTTCGAACATGATGTGTCTGCTGTTGCTGTGGGTTCGATCGCTGGTGAAACAAAATCGGATGCATCTGCTTGAAACTTGTTCTGGCTTGTCTCTGACTCTTCACGCTTGTTGGGGTTTGGACCGGGGTCGTCTTCGACGACCGAAAAAGAAGCTTTACGCTTGGTTCCCTTTGGGGGTTTCAAATTCTCAAACGGCCCTTGCTTCGGGCCCGCATGCATGTTTGAGCCCTCTGCTTCGAGCTCATCTCTTGGACTGCCTAGTCACTCTTCCTTCCGGGCATTCGGACACTCCACCGCTGGATGCGGCTTGAAGCAGTTCTTGACACAGCACAGGTGCAATCCCCTGTCACACTTCTGTTGCTTCGCTTGTGCATTGCAAGTCTTCAAATTGAATCCAAAGCAAATGCGATTTCCTTTCGAAGTGCTTGCGACACCCCCCAAGCTTCAGCAGTTCAACTGGAACTCTTTGAAATGTGTCTGCCTTGCCTCCTCCCTTTCCTTTGGGACCGAGCTTGCGACGCTTGAAGGCATCGTCCTCCTTAACGATGTTCGGCTTGAAGCCACTGGGGTTCGCGTTCGGAATCGCAGCGTTCTGGGCCATCCGAGGTTGAAGCAAGTGCCTGACCTCCGTTGCATTGAAACAAGCGTCAAATGAAAGATCACAAGGTCTCCCTGCCGGAGTTGCTTTAATGCCGCTTCGGGTGTGCTCCGACAAAAGTGTGAAGAACTTCTTGTCAGCCTGTTCCAACTGCTTCACGCTGACCTTCTGGTATCCTAGTGGAGGCTCTGACATACGAGTCTCCATCAACAACTCTGTCCACCTGTCGTGGTTCTCATAGCTCATCACATTTGCCTGCTCCATCGCGAGGCCTCGCCTCACAAGGCAGTACCTGACTTGGATTTCCGATGATGTTTGAGCCGGATCTGGTTTGTCGTGTTTGGACAGTTTCAGTGTGCCATCACCTGAAAAACTCAAACTGGTGTCCTTTTTCACGTTGTTCGAAAGCTCAAACTCTCGAGAGATGCATGCTGACCATTCCACATAAACCAGCCTGTCGCTCTCATAGCAATTGCAAAACTTGTCGACTAAGGTGTCACCTGGTTCATAGTGACCTCGGATCGAAAGGCCTTTCAATCGGTTTTGTTGTTCCCTAAGACGTTCGGCTCGTTCAGCAGGAGCTAATTTCCTCGTTGCAGTTTCATCGGTCTGTTCAACTTGGGATTTGATGTCTGCCGCAACGTTGGCATAGCTTTCACTGAACAATCTTCTCACGATACTCATCTCTAAAGCCGTTGCATCACGGCCCAAAGCGTCCTTCACCATGTCCACCAATGGCCTGTCTGATGCGGCCCCTGGTGCGTAGTTACAAGAAAAAGCAAAAAGAGCCATTGTCTTATATCCTTTGTCCTGGAGCTTTTCCAGGACAGCTCGCTCCATGCCCATCTGCAGTGCTCTTGCTTCGAACACCGCCGAGCTGTCGCCAAATGACATGGTGAGACCGCGAATCTAGCATGGGATGGCTATCCTTGAGTGCCCGGCTTCGGTCACGATCAAGATTCACGTCGAACCCCTTCCGATGTATAAGATTCCGTGAGGCCACCGTTTTTTCAACTCAAGTGGCTTTGGGTCCGCGCGCGCGCGCGCCTCCGACAGCCGCGCGCGCGGACCCAAGCTTCCAAAACGGTGACCTTCACGGATCATATTCCGATGCTTATGCGCTCGTTTCTGTATGTTTGAGTTTCTTCTGTTTGGTAAATTGATTCTCATTGCACTCGACCAAAGTGTCCAAAAGAAAAGCGTCTGCACGAACTTCACCACGGTTTACCAATCTTTTTGCACAAGCTTTCAGTTTGAACTCTTCCAGTCTGTCTTCAATCAATTCAAGCTCTTAAATGCTTGCTTTCCATTCTTCAACAAAATTCAAACTCTTAAATGTTTGCTTTCCATTCTTCAAAGAAAATCCTCAAGCGCACTCCATTTTCCCTTCATAGGCTCTCGACGTTGGTGTCATAGCTTCAGACACACTCCGCAAGCCGGATACACGAACTCCGGTTTCTCATCCAGGCGCAAATAGTTGGCATTTGCAGTTCGGCCACAACGAAAATGCGTACCTCCTTCGTCTGCGAGGACATGAAGGCATCGGGAAGTCTTGCGGCGAGCGTAGCACAAAGAGTCGGTGGCCTCCTGTGGCCTCCAGGGGCCTACAACTTGCGCAACTGCTTTCTCTTCTTCCTCCGGGATGTCGTCCTCCTCACTCTCCGAACCCCTGCTCTCCGAGTCCAGCGAACCATCGTCGTCTGAAGCAGGCTGGTTGCTTTCGCAAGTTGAGCCCGGGGCGAAATATCCGGACCGAGTCTTGTCCGGGAAAAACATGTCAGTCCTCACCGCCATGATGACTTCCCTAAGTCTCCTCAAAGGCAAGGACATGCTGTCTCTCGAGTATACCAGCAATGACTTGTCTTTCGAACAGCTGTGGTATCCCAACATGCGACGAACTGAATGTTCTAAGCCAAACTTCGAACACATGCTCAACAAGGTGCTCTTGCACGAATGCGTTGCGATTCGAACTGCGGCACCATCGGACACCTTTGACAAAGCTCGAAGCCATTCCCCTGCTGAACTCACCGGCAAAGGGGTTTTGGACCACGAGCCATCCGCCATTGGTGAGGTCATCAAAGGTGTTCCTCTCTCACACTTCAAACCCGCCTTGTCCCTCAGTTCAAGCCACGTCAAAACCCAGCTAGGGTCGGAAAAACCCAGGATTGGAATAGCAATCGGAAGGTGCCTTGTCTTGCGCTCCAATGTGATCGAGGTCTTCGTTCTTTCGGCCTCGCATTCAAGGAAACCTTCCAGGTCGGTGCCGACTGTGATGACATCAAGTTTCATGCTCGAAATATGAAGTCCGTCACTGAACCTAAGTCTTCCGAAGATCAAGAGCAAAAAGTAGCCTGCTGCGATCCTGTCAAAAGCAGTCCTACGTTCGTCCTTCACGATCTGTTCCAGGTGCTGCACTTGCTCAACAGTCAAAGGTGGCCTTTGCACTACTTTCCTTCGATTGCAAACATGCGCCGCTGACAAACCCTTAATTCGACCGCTCTTCAAAACGACTTCCCCTCCCATGAGGCCCAAAATATGGAAGGCGAACGAAATGGAGAGCAAAAGCGATCTGAAAGAACTCGGCGCGGCGTTTGTCCAAGACTTGAAGTATTCGTAAAGCATCGGTTCCTCGACTGGAAAACATTCACAACCCCTGTCCCTCCAGAACTTTGCAAAACGAATCAAAGGTCCTGCCCTGTTGTGAAGTGTGCTTGACGCCTTGTTGGCCAGGGCATCGCTCACTGAATCCATGAGACCTCCTCGGGCGAAATTCAAAGCTCCCGACGCGGCAACCTGTCGAGAGATCTGCCAAGCACCTACATTGGTCAAGATCAAAGAGCACCATTTCTTGTACGCACACTTCCTTTCCCATGACAGCTTCTCATGCCACAGTTTATTATCTGCTCTGGTTGCAAATTTCAACTTAGCCTCACGAAAAGCACTTTTGCTGAGCTCTGGACCAACTTCGAGGTTGTTAGCTGAACTATGGACTTTTGGCATCAATGGCATGTTTCCGGACAAAGGCATGACTTGCATGGAACTGGAAAACACATCGAAAGGCGTCCTCAAGCATGCATCCCATGGCATGACATGTGACTCTGATTTACGAAATCTATTCCAGCAAAATGCAAGATGTTTCTCATATCCATCCCCGGGGACGGCTTGCCCCTCATTTCCTCCCTCCATTGCACCCCAATTCCGCTTTAGTGAAGGTATCATCGACGATGACGGCGCTCGTAGCAACTATGATGTTTATGTCCTTCGGCCCGTGTACACGGGCGGTCACACCAGCGGCAATGAAAACCGCACCTCCACGGCAAACGAAGGCCCGGGGAGGAGGGCACCTCCCACGAGCCCTGGCTTTCAGGGATGCGCGGAGAAGAAGGCTGATCCGGAGCGGCAGTTTCGGCAAAACGAACAGTCAGTTCACTCAAAATCAGCTGAATCCAGCGAAGCAAATTGCTAGTGGAAACCTGAGACAAATCTGGGAGCTCGGCACCACGATCTCCCATTGCCAAAAACTACTCGCTCGCTTTGGATGGAATGAGCGCCCACCCGCCCTTCCCGCTTCTTGAACGGTAAAGCCGCGGCCGCGTTTGTATTTCCCGTTTGCTTGAAGACTGTCGTTTTTAAAAGCTTTGTATTAAAACATTTTTAACTTTTGGTACACAAAGTGTGTTTCACACCGCTTGTGAACTTTTAGCTTTTGATGTACACACGTGCGTCATACTTATGTGCTCATTCAGAACGCACCTGACGGACACATGCGCTTATCTACTGAAACTTAAAAACCTTTTACGCAGTGGGGGATGTTAGCTTAACATCAATCCTGCGTTACCTATAAACCGTCATTGGCGCGCCAACAACAAACATCCGACAGCATCTTGGGATACCGCCTGGGGCTCCTATGAACTGCTTTTACCTCCTTCTGCAGTGCTTTTACCACTTCGGAGTGTTATCCCTCCCAACCGGGTGCCTGTGAAGTCTGTCCTACAGCAGTAGCAGGTGTGTCCGATATCAAGATATTAGCTGTTGAACATGATGGCTCCCTACCCCTTGACTTAGTAAGGAGCGACAGTATCTTGGGATACCGCCGGACCTACCGGCACTGCCCCATAGAAACTGGGTTCGTGTCTAAGTTACAGAAACATCTTTAGCGTGGTCCTGCCTTACTGACTGCTAGACGCAGAGGCTTGTGGCTTGGTGGACGCCACTGCATTTTGGAGTGTCGCTTCTATATTGGGCAGTTCAACTGTGCGATCTACTAGGCGAAAGAAGTCAATCTCAGTACTGGATGCGAAAGCGATGGGTCCTTGCCAGATAGCCCGCAGGCATGACTTGGTTGACGCGCCATTCCCAGTCGCGCACAGTCTGGCTTTTGGGCGTCCGTCGCAGCAAAGGGCTTTTTTCTGTCTGATCTCTCCGTGGAGAGGTATCCGAGTTCGAAATGTACCCGAAGCAGGGCGAGTGGGGTAATGGTGTATGCGCGGTGCTTGGACAAAAGGTGCCAACTTTTCCTCGAGATGGTCGTGGCGAGCCCCGTATGCAGCCATCTCGCGACCTGCATATAGTGGTCAGCCACCGAGCGCTTCGCAAAGGTTTGCGCGGCGCGCTGCAGCAGGCTCATCTCAAAGGAGAAGCATCCTTGCCCCGTGGCTGGGACGTAGCTCTCTTCCTCTGTTGTTTCCTCATCTGCAGTCTCATCTGCACAGTCTGTCCTTGCATCCGGGCTTTTGGGGGCATTACCGCTGCTCCTCGGGCAAGGTCCCTTGTCCGCTGGGGTCTCCCTGGCAGGACTGTGCCTCGGCGCTGTTTGATCGTCGAGTGGTGGGTCAGCTATCCCATCCTTAAGTTTGTGCCACAGCGGAACCTCAACACGAAAAGCTCGTCTGATAAAAGGAGGCAAAGGAAACAATCTGTCCGAAGCTCGCATCAAGCATCCCTTCTTCATAAGCTATCGCCAGGGTTGGGGTTTCCGGGATGGGGGGGTATTGCTCACGCGAGCATCTTCCTTCGAAGACTCCCACGATGACATAAGGGTTGTTAGCAGCGTTATCCACATTGCGCCTGTATCTCTCTGCAGCAGTAAGTGAGCCTTCTTCAAGCTTTAGCGCCTTACACTGCGCAATGACCTTGTGCACAATTTGAACAGGGAAAAATACACGCACATGGTCTATGGGGAGCTCAGGTTTGCCAAGGTAAAGGCCTCGCGCAAAAGACATGACGACTGTTTGGTGCAAGTGAGTTGCGAGTGGGTTCTTCTAACGCCGGAGCCGAACTGTCTTGTTTTCTTTCTTTGCTTGTTCATCCGGTTCTTCTCCTGCTTCTGCTGTCTTCGCCTCGCGGCGCAAAAGGACAGAAGGCCATACAGTAAGTCGGGTCAGCGTGTGGGGCTAGCTCAGCTTGGTCTGTCTTCTGTGGCTTTTCCTCGCTCGGTCGGAGAAATGCAAACAGGGCAGCCAGTTGGGCGGCCATGGCACCACAGATGGCGTCGAAGTCTTCTGTGGTGTGCTCAATCACCTCTCGGGGCAAGTGTTGAAACTCCACTCCTCTGAAGCTTAATTCCGCAAGTCTTCTATTGAGCGTAACCCGTAGGAGGACACCGATGTGGCGCGTTTTGACGCTGATGCGCGCTAGGGGCCATTCAGTGGGCAGGTGGCGTACAATGCAACGGGGGGCACCACTGGTGGTTGGCCTAGCTCAGCAGCTTGTGTCGCTCGTGCATCCCGTGCTGCATGTGCAGCTATTGTGAATGCGGGCTGGGTCTGCACTGATGCACTCTTGCCATCCTTTGTTTGCATGTTTGGCATTGAATGTTTATGGAAGCGGTACAATTCTTGCATTGCTCTCTGCTCAGATTGCACCGTAAGGTCTGCTTCCGCGAGCCCAGCATGGTCCCCTTCCTCTCCGAGGGCAATCTCAATAGGGCTGACTTGCTTGTCTGCGTCCTATCCTCGTCCGGTGAGTGGGGATCTTCCTTAATGCCCATTCCCCGCAGAGCATGCTCTGTTGGCTTGCGTCTTCTGTGCCGTGTTCTGGAGTGCTTTCGACACTCTCTGCAATGCACTGCAAAATGCCAACGGTTTTGGCCGCCTTGGACTTCACAGCAGTGTGTTTGGTGGCCGCGGTTAGAAGGGTCCCTTTGCCCCTCTCTGTGGAGGTGGCCGGCTTTTCCTTTTCAGACCGCTGTTGTGAGGCATCAGTCTCACTGGGTTCACCTCTATCAGTGGGCTCCTGCTCGAGCCAGCGATGCTTGCTGCCATCTTCGCCTCATACCTTTCAGCGTGTGTGCGCCTGGTGTCCCTGTCCCTGTCTCTGCTCGCTCAGCTGAAGGACAACGCTTGCAGTCCCCCTCCGTCACCTTATCATTGTCTTGGATGTTGGTGCGGTGTCTTGAGAATCCGCTTGATATCAGCAGGCTCTGTCACCACTCTTGCGGCTCCGGTGCCTTCGGCAGGGGGTGCGTCTTGCTGTTCATCTGTCTGAGCGCAGGGAGAGGCTGAGGGAGGAGACGTGGCAGACTGGGAGCGGCCCCCTTCCCCTGGCTCGCAATGTGCTTGGCACTCTGAAGAGGAGTCATTTACCTCCCATATGCTGGTTACCTCGAGAGGAGGGGACACCGGTGCATGAAATCAGTAGCTGTGACTCACCCAAGCCCGACAATGAGGGTGGCGAAGATAGGGAAGAAGAAGCAGCAACGGATGACTCAGTAGTCGAACAACAAGAGGAGCAACGCCTGAGGAGGTGACCGTACCAGCCGACGGTGCTGCTGGCTCTGAGGCTTGGGCGGGGGAGCCTTCTTCGTCTGCTTGGCTGCTGCACGGGGCTGGTTGGTCATGCGATTTTTGTACGCTGCGTGTACTGTCAGGCGATGGAAGAAGACTTGGCTGATCATCGGAACTGATCAGGTCGAGATCATCAGGGGACAAACTGCTATCAGGCATGCTAGCGGCCGGGGGTTGCGTGTCAACCGAAGTAGCGGCTGTGGGGCTCCAATAGCATCCATCCTGTAGCATACCAGGCGCCGGGGGCAGCAGCAGGGAGGAGTTCTCTCGATTTAGTATCGGCTCATTCCTCCATGCATCATAAAAGTAGATTTTGTGCAGGGCTTCAAACTGGTACAGCCGTGCCTTATTGGCGACATCACTTTTGCCAGGCGGGTAGCGGACAGCGCTACCGACCGTGAAGCGCGAGCCGCCTGCTTTGCTGACCGCATGAAGCAAGCGCCAAGCTCCAGGGTGACTGGTGTCTGAGAGGATGAGCCAATCCGGGTTGGCAAAGCCATCTGCTGCATAGCCAAACAAAAGCCCGCTGCCATGGAGTGGATGGGCATGATTCAGGAACTGATTTTGTTCGCCTTGCGAGAGGCAGCTTTGCTTTGTGAGAACCAGCCTGAGGCGTCTCACCTTCCCGTCATAATGTTCAGCCAGGCAAAGGGGAGCTGGCCCCTGCCACAGGGCGTGTGGCTCAGTGGCCGTGAGAAAGGCAGCAGTCTCCGCTTGGACATCTAAATTGCCAATTTCAAAGGACCCCTCAACTTGGGCAGTGCCAGGCACTATGTTGCTAGTGCGCAAGGTGCAAACTCCATGTAGGAGCGCGGCAATGACTTGCGCGGCACCCTCAAGACCGTGCATGTTGAGCGGGCACGCTAGAACCGTAAGGTCCGTGGCTCTGCTAAGGGCCACGTTTGCCCTGCTGTAACATTCGTCGAAGTCAGACCTGTTGGAGTGGCCACTGAGAAAGCTAGATTG